AAAAAAAGAATCTTTTAAATTCAAGTTAATACTATATGGAAAATGTTCACAAACCATCTGTACATCCTTTGACAGGCTAATATTTAGATATACTTTCCATCTGAACAATACCTCAGTTTCACTCTCAATACCCATATATTTCTGATATATTATACTGGCTATGAAATTGCATTCTAAATCTACAATATTAAAAAGTATATTATTATTATTATTATTATTATTATTATTATTATTATTATGGCTTATAATCATTACATGTAGACTGAATACAGTTAGTGTCTATGTACCAATCTTTTATATATCTTCATACATATAGACCAGTGTATTTGTAAACAATTTGTATACTAAGCAAATTCTCTTGATTAAAGTTTTTTGCCTATCTTGATTCAATAAACTCCATAATATCACTGTTCAATTTTATCTTTAAAAAGTGAATAAGCATGTGTGAACATTAAACAGATACAGCAAATTCATCTAATAAATTTAAAAACATCCCACCCACTATTGCTTAAGAGCATTCTCAAAACCATATGTCAACAGTAATAAATTCAATGAATAATAAAATGTTTTATTAAAATTATAACCTTTATCTATAAATATTAACAATATATATAAAATACATTCCTCTAAAGTAAGAATTAAGCATATAAGTATGTATCAGGTGGAATGAAGTACTAATATGGGGGTACTATTATGACATTTTCAGCAGTGAGTAAAGCAAAGTGACACATCTGTACAGTTTACAGCATGTAGGCTTTTTATTCAACTATTACACAATTTGAAAATTCAAGTTGGGCCAGGAGTGGTGGTGCACATCTGTAACCCTAGCCACTTGGGAGGATGAGGCAGAAGCATTGCAAATTCAAGGCCAGCCGTGGCAACTTACTGAGCTGGTATTGTTGCTCAGTGGTGGAATGTCCCAGTACCATTGGGAGGAAAATAAGAAAGGTGGTCATTACTGCATTTATGTCATACTTCATAATTCAATATTTTTAAGGAATTCTAACTATATAATCTTATTTTATTATTTCAAAAAATCTGTGAAATAGGCACAATATCCTTAGAGAGAGAATGTGATAGGCCCTATTTAGATCTAAGGCCTAGATATTATTTTGACCTGGTCTTCATTCTTCCCTTACACCTATCTCAGCCTTTACCATATAAAATATTTCAATCAGGAATAATACACTGTATTCAAAAATAAAAATAAGCCTCAGAATAGAGCATGACTTCTCATATCACACTCTTTTTAAAAAAATATTTTTTTAGTTGTAGATGGACACACAATAGTTTTATTTATTTTTGTGTGGTGCTGAGGATTGAACTAAGTGCCTCACAAATGCAAGGTAAGCACTTTACCACTGAAGTACAGCTGCATCCCCCATATCACACTCTTTTATAACTATATATTTTAACATGTAGGATAATGTAACACACTTTACTTTTGACATTCAAATTGAAAGTATCATAAAAGAGTGTTAAGATCATAATTAAGTAACATCTTAAATGATCAAATACAGACATGATTCTCTAAAGAAGAAATAACTCAAATATTTTACTTTTACATTTGTCATATATACATTCACATATTCATACACACATACACACACACACTCATGAGTGTACACTAACAGTTCCAAAATACATTTTCCAAATTGTTTCTTTCTCACATCATCTTCCTTCCTTCCTTCCTTCCTTCCTTCTGTCCTTCCTCCTTCTTTTCTTTTATTTTTATTCTTATTACTATTGTTATTAATTTTTCAGTACTGGGGATTGAACCCAGATGCACTTTCACTGATCTATATCCTCAGTGCTTTTAAATTTTGAGACTGGGTCTTGCTAAGTTGCCCAGGATAGCCTTAAACTTGAGATCCTCCTGCCTCAGCCTAAATTACTGGGATTACAGGGGTGCACCAGTGCACCTTGGTTTTTCACATTTTTTAAGCAAATAATAAATTAAGAAAATTAGGTTTCCCTCTGGTATGTAAGTCTCTTTTCTTTAGTCAAAATAGTCAGATGGGAAATAATTTATTCAAATGCTTTATACTATACACATGATCAGAATTGCTTATAGCATATGCTACTAAAATGACATAAAAACAAAACAGAGTTAGAAAACTTTTGTCAGGTTACAAAAGGTGATACTCACCAAAGGGGGTATTTTTTGTTTTCTTGATGGAGATATCTCATTTTCCTTACTTGCTTGCTGATGCAACATAGCTTTGAGCTGTTTAACTACAGAGCAAAAGCAAATGAATTCATTGACTTTGAGATCCATGGTTTATGCTATAGTTTTGATTTTATATGTCCCCCAAAGTGCCATGTGTTTAAAGCATAGTCCTGAGCTCAGTGCTACTGGGAGGTAGTGGAACCTTTATGAGGTGGGGTGTACTAGTAAGTCTTTCTGTCATTGGAAGGTTACCGTTGAAGAGGATAGTGGGACTTGAACTCCTTTCTCTCTCTTTTTTACTTCCCTGCTATGAGGCAAGCAGGTTTTGCTCCTCCAGGTACTTCCACCTTGATGTATTTCCTCATCACAGGAACAAAACTATGGGGCCAATTAGTCATGGACTGAAACTTCCAAACCTGTGAGCCACAATAAATCTTTTTACTTTATAAGTTTATTTAGCTTAGATATTTGTTATAGTAATAGAAAGTTGACTAACAACTTATCATTATCCACCCATTCTTTGATTCATCCAACAAATATTGCTTAACTTTCTATTATGCATCAAAAATTGTGCTATTGACTTGGAATACAAAGACAAAGATACCCCTTAAGAGCTAAAATTCAGTGAGCAAAAAAGATAGACTAATAGATGTAGAACAATAAAACAAATTTGGATATAGACTTAGAACTATGCATAGTGTTACAAGAGGACACACATAATTGTGCCTGTTTTCACAGAGAAGCTAACGCTGTCCAGGTGAACAGGAGTTCACCAAGCAAGAAAGGGGGAGAAAAGTTCTAGTTAGGATGCATTACACGTGTAAAAGTACAGAGGCATAGTTAGGAGGTTTGTATGCCTAAAATATGGTTTATGAGAGGGATGGTTAGGATGAGAGTGTAAAAAAAAATAAGACTGGAAATGTAGGTTGCAGCTCTCTAAGCAAAATATTGTTATCTCATCTTAAGATATTTGGACGTTAGCCTATAGGCATTAGGAAGTCGAAAAGAAAAAAAATTTAGTGAAGAAATTGTATTACCTGATTTGTGTTTCAGGAATAACAACCTAGCAGCAGAGTGGAGGATGGGATGGAGTCAGTATTCTGTAGAGTTTAAAGTACTTACTATGTGTCATTTAGGCTAGGACTGACATTATTACTTACCGGCATGGCTATGTTGCAGTTCATGCCAGGCTATCTCAGGGTCCTCATTTCCTACATTGGTGCTAAAGGAAGGATCCAGTGCTTCTTCTTCAATGGTGACATCACCTTCTCTCAGGGCACATTTCAGTTGGTGAATGCTTCTGCTGGCCCGTTCTGCAAACAGACATCTGATGAAAATCAAGGCCGGTAAAATGTGAGCAGTCACATGGACATTTATTCAAGATAGCAGTCTTGAAAGAAATATCAATTATTTCTGGTACTCAATGGAAAGAGGAGAATTTTGTTTCTAGTTTGCTGAAGATTGTGCCAAAGAAAGTGAGAGAAGATTAAGTTCATGGATTAGAGGTTAGTCTTAATGGTCTCTGTAATTGCAATTGTTGATTTCTTTTTTTGTTTTATGTTTAATATTTTTAGTTCTGGGGATTGAACCCAAGATCTCAAGCATGTTCACCAAGTCCTCTATGAGTGAGCTTCATTCCCAGCCCCCTCTGATATTCACTATATATAGCACCTCCAGCATAGTTTTGGAGGGTCAAATGGCAGTTTCCCCACTCTCAAGCAATAACCAACCTGGGGATCTGGAGATGTGTTCTCCTTCCTCTCAGTGCTTAATACTGCCCTACCCTACCTGGAAATAGAAGGGTGAGTTGGGCAGAACCAGCCATCGGAACTCAGTAACACCAAGTTCTGACCTAGGGAAGCCCCATTATCCCTGAGGACCTGATGCCCTTGCTTCACCAAGAGACATAAACTAGCTGGGCATGGTGGCACACAGATATATTCCAAGCTATTTGGGAGGTCAAGGAAGGAAGATCAAAAGTTTCAAGGCCAACCTGGGCAACTTAGTGAGATCCTGTCTCAGAATAAAATTTTTAAAGGACTGGGGATGTAGCTCAGTGATAGAGTGCCCCTGGGTTTAATCCCTAGTATCACCACGGGGGGGGGGGATGCCGGGGTGAGGGAGAAAAAGAATGAACTGCTTATTCCAGTTTCTCAGTTTAAATCAAGATTTGTACAGTTGAAGTGATTATGGTGGCAGTTCATACTGTATAGTGTTTCTTATGTATCGTACTCATATTCTTGGTTAGTGTAACCCCTCGAAATGAAGCTTAAACATGGTAGCACATAACATTTGTTTCTTTGATAATTCGTCTCCCTCAAGAACCCAGGCTCACTTCCTTGTGGCCTTATATTTTGAAAATGAGTAGGCCTATAATTTGTATTAACCAGCACAAGTTACACCATGAAAGTCCCAGGCCCCATCTGTTTCACAAAGGACTAGCAGCTGCTGTCTCCTTGATCTTGGAATGTTTGATTTTAGGAGCTGTTCATCTTGTTGAAGAGACCTGAGAAGAGGCCACATAGAGAGGAAAGGCTCTGAGACTTCATGGAGAAGGAGAGATGCTCATCACCTCCATCACTCTACACCCCAATAGTCCAGTGTAACTGTTAGAGGACTCCACTGTCAGCAACCATTTAAGTACAATGTCAGGAAAAAAGACCTGATTCATGCATGAAAGCACATTTATTAACATATATTTTATAAAATCTTGAAAAACAAATTTCTTTTTCTCCAAGTTCATTCATTTTCAGGTTTAAAATAGAATACCATAATGATATTACTTAATGGAGAAGTAGTAGAGTTTCTTGACTTACAGCAAGTAATTTTCTACCTTGATTAATCTAAAGAAAACAGGTCTTTCAGTCTAGGTTAAACAATGAAATTCTCTTTATTAATTACACAAGAGACTCAGTGAATTTATCATTACATTTTCTCTACAGTAATCCTATTTATATAGAGATCTTTTTCTAACACAAACTTGGTGCTGATTACTAACCAAGTCTGGTCTCTTCTTACTTATCCTGAATTTAAAGAAGCACAGATAAGAAGTATTCCTAGTTTTCTCAATATAAGGAACAGCAACAGCTTTCCAGCAGCTCAGAATGTTCTAAAGAGACTTCAATCTATGAATAAAGCACTGTTGTTATTGTATCCATTAGAAAGGAAACAGAGGATTTGATTAACATTAAAAGTATGCTCCATGGAGCCATCAAAATGACTTCACTTCTAAAACAAAGGATAATTGTTTATTTATATTTGGTCTAACTAAAAGCTAATAAACTATATTAGGAAAAAGAAAGAAAATCTGAAATAAAAATCACAGAATTGAAAATCCCTACAGGTAAAGCTCTTTCCGATTACAATGATGGCAGTATTTTAAGGGCCCTTTAAATATTTTTTCTAATATTCTTGTTTGGTATTTTGAAATTCATAATATTAAAAGATGACATCCTAGACTGTACTGTGAAAATAATGAGATATAGAATTCAACAACTATCCCAAAGGAGAGTGATACACATAGCTTTGGGGTTTTTTTTGCAACTATTGACTCAGTTGTGAGGGTCAGAGAAGGAGAGGAATTTGCAAAGGACCCTGTCCCAAAACTAAGATGTAAATGATACTTTTAAATTATTTAAATACAACATTTTAAAACACACACACACACACACACACACACACATATATATATATAAATACATTTTTCAAACATATACACAGCAACATCCACATAATTATAAAATATGAATAATAGTTAGTCCTGAAGAATTGTAACTCTAAGATGATTCAAGATGGATGAAATTCCATTGCTTATCTACTGGAGATATTTAATCTGAAGCCTCCATAAGCCTTATTATGAACACTATTCCATAGATGCAGTTATCTGATGCTTAGACTTAAGGAAACCATATTAGACAGGAGGTTCCAGTTATCATTTCCTATCCCACTGCTAATGGGGCACAGCTTTATGTAACCGAGATAGAAAGGACATTGACTTCCTCTTCTCTCCTGAGAGGACAGTAGGGTATTTCCAAATGATCTGATTTCTTCTCCCCAGCACCAATAGGCTAAATGTAAACTTAATTATAAACAGAAATACAAACAAACCCTCTGAGTCTTACAGATCTCATGAACATAAGTACAAGTAAATAATATTTCTATTACTCCATTATCCAAACATCAATCAGAACAATGAACACTTAAAATGGTTCTTGAGCTAATGACTGTAAATTTAATCTCTTAGTTACTTTCTTAATCCAAGTTCCCTATTCCTATGTTCTAATTCCCAGCTCACCATTGAGCTTTTCTTCATCAGGATGTTTTTGAACAAAATGTAAAAATTTCTCAGTCTAAGAAGGATCACTAACTATATTCATATAGTGAATTATTAATGTCTACATTCTCCATCTGTCTTGGGAGATGTGTAAGAGAATTACCCTAGTGACAGGGAGAGGGAACCAACCCTATGAAGTACCCAGCTGTCTCTGAGAAAACAAGCAATGAACCATTCCCTAGGCTGACCTATAAGATACACAGCAGTTCCTGGCACAAGCTTAGAAAAGGGCAGATGGCAGAAAAATGAAACCATAGCTAGATAAGAGAAACATGTGTCTGTCTACACATAATGGGGCCACATCCTAGTTCGGAAGATTGCCGTAACCGTTTTCTAAGGGACTGACAGCAAAACCAAGGTAAAAACAGCATAATTGAAAGTCAGACAAAGTCAGCTCTGTAAACAGCAATATCGAAAGACAATAATTAAGTACTACAGATAAATGAAAAAAAATCTCAAAGAAAATACTATCATAAGACTGTAATAGTTGAAAATGTGCTTAAAGTGTTTGGCACCAGTAGTAAGAGAAAATCTGAACAAGAATGTAGAATCTTTAAAAAAAATAGTGTCTAGAAGATCATAAATGATGTAGGGGAGTTGGCAAATCCCATGAGATTGTCGATATCCATTCTGAAGGATACACCTGACATTTCTTTGGCACCAACTGAGAAGACTTATGCACCTGTCACTTCCTCTGATAAAGAATTCTAGCTAGACTGGCAGAAGAATGTGAATAACATCGCCAGCCAATACAATCTGTATCTTTAATTGTAATTACACCAAACTATAACTCTTGTAGAACTATGAGATGGCTATGAGAAAAGTCTTACTACTTCTAGATCATGGTTTCTCAACCTCAGTTCTATTGACATTTTGACCCTGACAAACCTTTTTGTAAGGAGCTAGGTTATGCATGTTTAGCAGTATCCCTGGCTTATATGCACTGGCTATCAGTAGCACTTACCTCTACCCCCAATAATAACAATAAAATTGAAAAAAAAAAGGTTTCTGGACAATACTAAATGTTTGCTTGGTAGAAAAATTGGCCCTGACTGAGAATTATTGGTTGACATCAATAAAACAAGATAGCTAGTATTCAGTCTTGAGAAAATAATTCCATTATAGTCACTACATTATTATATTGTAACTGTAGCTTCCTCTTCATGAAGAAAAGGGCAGAGCAATGAGTTATTCCACCACAGTTGTCATGATGGGATACTTCTTATATAGGTGGCAGGGATAGATATTATATACACTGTAATCAGGAGCTCAGAATTCATATTAACTTAATTTTGTTTCAAGGCCTAAAACAATGCAATATTTACTTTAAGACCATTGCTTTAAATATTCCAGTGGGCCTTACTGAAGTTCCATCATAATTAAGGTTGCTTTGGCACATGTATATGTGCTTTTTGAGCTACCTTCTTTACCAATGGACACCAAAAAGTTATCACTAGATGAAAAGGTGAAAACCTTAGCACAAAATGGGGATGTATTTGAAGTGTAAGTCTTTACACATCCAAGGGAGAATACAATTATTCTCAGTATCTCAATAGCTTGTGCATATTTCTACCCCAAAACACGTGAAAGTGCCCTTACAATTTTACAACACTTTACCAAAATTTTGGTTCTAGATATTCCAGGAAGGAATAATTATTTGTAAAACATTCTTTTCTGCCTGACAAATCCTGTCTTTTGCCTATTTTATCTCATTAGTGGTGGAAAAAGAAATATGGGATTTTTCTGTTGTAATTTTGTTTTAGTAAAATAAAATATCATAAAACTACTAAAAAGGCAATGAATATATGAATAAGAAGGATATAAAATTTAATCTTTATAAACAAATACCAATCCTTATATGTGTATATGCATATACATTACGTGGCAAAGCATATGCAAGAAAACTAAGAAAAGAAAAATATTGAGAAAAGAGAAAAATAAGTTCTATGAGTACATATCAGAAAAAGAACTTTCACTTAAGTTATACCCATTTTCTTAAGTCTGCTAAAGATCCAGATGACATCACTGCTGGCTAATACACTAGCTAAATTCTTGGCTAGTAAGATTAACATAGTCCTTGTACAAAATATAATCCCTTCTCTGGCAGGAGGAAAATACTTTGCAGGATCTGGAGATATATGCCAATCAGATACAGGGAAAACACAGAATAACAACATTATCTCCAGTTTTCTTGAACTAAAGTAAATTACAAAGAAAAGGAAACTCCTCAAGATTATGTATTTTCTTCTCATATTCATCACCATTCAATATACTTAGTTTGACTCCGTACTCTCATTTTGTAAAAGAGAAATAGTCCAACCGAGTGTTAATGGAAAGGACATTAGTGATCCAGGGATCAGAGAGTAATCCCTACAGGGGCAAAATAGGCTCTTCAGTGTGTTTTGCTTGGATCTCTTTTTGGAAAAAGACAGGGAGGAAGGGAGAAGAATAAAGAAGTAAGCAAAAGAGAAATTGGAATGTTTTTAGAAAAAGCATAAACTGTCCAGTTTGGTCATAAGCCTCACCTTTCCCAAGTGTCTTCCACTGACTCCTTCATTCCAATGCTTTGTCATCTGCTTGGCTCCTAAAAGGCAATAGTTCTCACATCTAGTACAAAATTTTCATTTTACAGATGAGGAAACAGGAATCTAAGAACTTGTTTAACCTGTTAAGTCCCAAGTTTTCGATTTTTGTGAACAGAATTACTTCAAAATTACCATATGTGGTATATTTGTTGCTTGATGTAAGTTTTTATAAGGAATTCTACATTTGAGATAATGGAATCAAATACATCAAGGTCACACAGGTGGCTATCAGCAAAGTAACAGTAATGTAAGTGACCTACTTTCTTATTACACATTCTCTTCTTTGAATCCATCATACTTTTTGCCACAAATTCCATCTAGAGGCTGAAACATCAAAGTGTTGAAAGGAAAGAAAGAACTAGTATACAGAATATATATAAAAACTATGTGTTCCTGTCACATTAAAAGTTTGTTTCATTTCCATTTATGCCTATCCAATCAACCACAAGTGGCTAGGTACTTACTACTTGAAGGGGTGAGTCATGAACATAGGTGTTGTTGATAAAGCTATACCCATTACCTAACACAGAAGCAACAGGCAAGACATGATTCTATTATTAAGGTTAGAATACTGTGTTCTAGCAATTTCTATTCTTTCTAGTATCAGGTTCCTATGCTAAAGTGTGCAGAACTTAAAACAGAGCATGGGTTATCTTTTATTCAGGTTTTTCTTGACTATAAACTACTATATTTTATACTTTATGACCTGATACAATGATTCCTTGAATTTAAATTAGAAGAAGGGCATTTGCAATCCTCCCCAATTACAAATGTATTTCTTAAATTGTTCTGTGGATCTTGAATTATGGCTATCTAGAGAGTAAATGAACACATAATCATACTGTCAGAAGACCTTCCAAATTACTTCTAATTCTATATTGATCTTTGTGGTTGCTAAGATATCAGGAATATGTACACTTCTTATCACACTGGATCATGACCAAAATGAATCTGTCAGGCAATGAAGGTTTCCAGTTTTTCTACCAGGACTCTCATTTTGAAAGAGAGTCAGTTTATTTTCTCTAATTTCTTGCAGAAAGGTTACAGTCAAACCAAAGCAAGAGCGATCTGGGGACACAATCTATTTTATGGAACGGAGTGTTGCCCAATTTTAGAAATGCAAAGTCAATTAAGATCTTTAAACAAACAAACAACAACAGAGATTTTTGGAAGGTTCAAAAGGGAAAACATCTGAAAAGTGTAAAGAAAAGGATGAGAGGTAAATGTGGAGTCTGCACATGGGCTTCCTATTTCCATGGATGCTTCAGCATCACTGGAGTCAAAGAGAGGTAAGAATTCCACTATCATTTTAAAAGCCAGAAAGTCAACTTTGTCTCTGCTTTTTCACATCAGTATTCCAAACACTTAATATACCATAATAATGCCCAAATTATATTTAAAGTAAAGAATTAGAAAAAAGCATAAGAAAATTGAATTACTATCATGGAAAATTATAAAAGCATTTTGCATTTTAATTTAACTTTCTGGTGAATAAAAATGAAAAGATACTATTAATGATTATATATAGTTATTTCAAAATCACAGGAATAAGCAGTAAGAAATTCCCAACACTTTATTATTAGCCTTCCATGAATTAGACAAGACATATTGGTAACGGAATTTTTAAATTATTGGGAACACTCAACATAATGAAGTTCCATATACTGAATGCACCATATTTTGATTATTTAGAAACACAAAATTTTACTTTAAAGAGAATTATTCTGTTTAAAAGAGGTAGTTTACACTTGTGAAGAATTTTTGATTGTGCTTAAATTCAGGGTTTTGTTTTCTTCTAGAAGCTGTTATATATTAGAAACTTACAAAAAGAAAAATTCTACATAAATAATATATTCCAAACCCATTTAAAAATTCAGGTTCCATTTTTATTCATTGTTAAAATTATGGCTAAAAACTTTTAATTGTTTACCTTTTTTCTATCCCTTTTTAGTAGTAGTGAAATGCTTGGACTATCCTTATGTTGTTATTAAAATTAAAATTTATCTAAAAATGTATTATCTTTGACAGCTGGGCCAGTAGCACACACCTGTAATCTCAATCACTGAGGAGGCTGAGAGAGGAGAAGCCCATCCTCAGCAACTTAGCAGGGCCCTAAGCAACTTATACTCTACTTTCATGTACATCTAAAGATAACAAATAAAAAAATTAACAAAAACAAAAGCAAAGCCAAACAAAAAAATAAGATAAAATGGGGGTAGAAAAGTAGCCAAGTGCAACTGGGTTAAATCTCTATACACACACACACACACACACACATACACACGTATTATCTTTGAATGAAAACTCTTCCTTGTATAATTATGAAAAAAAATCCAAAGCTATTATAGATGTTATTGTAAAATTAACTTGAAATTAACCACTTTACTACATCAAAATATCTTACATTAAATTCCTCCAGGGATTACAAAAAGGGTTAAAATAAGGTCAAAGGAGAGGTTAAAAGAAACATAATAAACCTTTAAATAAGGTTAAAAGAAACATAATGGAAAACAGAAAATGTTTACTAATCTAAAAAATCGAATAAAATCACTCATATCATTGTGCACATTTTTCTTGCTTACAAATGAAATGCTGTTTCTATATCTAATAGCTCTTCAAACTACCAGTAGTCTGATGAAAATATTAAGACCAATTCCTTTACTCCTGCAGTTTGAATACTTGAGAATGTCGACAGTTTGTTGCATTACTGACAGATATAGACAATAAATAATAACCCTACAAAGCTTAGAGTCATGAGAAGATTAACTTTCTAATCTTCTTGAAAAATCTTCATTTCACTGCCATGTACCAAACATAAATAGCAGATAATGTGCCAAGCACTGATCCTTACTGCATTTTCAATTGTAGTAACTAAAATATATATAATACTTATAATTTCAATTATAATAATCTATAATTATTTTACTTTCTTTTCCACTAATCCAGAGACCCATAGAGATAGGGACTTGATCTTGTTCCATACTGCAAATCAGCACCTAGAATGCCTAACCCATAGTGGGGCACTGAATTAATATTTTCTGAGTAAATTGGGTTCTAAATGCCTTAAGTATCTTTGTAAATGTTAGTTATGACCTAGGTGGTTTGGAAATTCAACAGAATAGGAAATAAAGTATATCATATCTACTAGAATAAAACATCTTTAGTGAAATTGTTCTTTTTGTTTACATGTATATGTCCACATAATTGTGCGCGTATGTGGTGCTGGGGATGAAACCAAAGGGCTCATAAATACCAGGCAAGCCCTCCACAACTGACCCACATCCCAACCCTGAAAATATATTTCTTTCTATGGGGTAACATTTTTTTTTTTAAGTTTGAAAATCATTGCTTTATGTGGATTATTTCATTTGCTTCTCATAATAAACTTGCAGATAATACTACAACTTCCAAAACACAGAACGGAGATTTCCAGAGGTTGTAGAATTGTGCAAGATTACAGACTGCACATATGGACAACACTTCTACGGGTAATTGTTCATAAGGTACTGCACTAAGAAAATATGCATTAGTTAAATGCAATTTCAATAACAGCAATTATGACTTGATTAATAAAAAAAAATATAGGCTTTGAAAGCAGACAGGTCTAAATGTAATACCTGGCTCTGCCACTAATCTGCTGTGTGGGCTTTGGCCTATAATTTAAACTTTTTGAGCTTCAATTTCCTCTTGGGTAAAATAAGGATACACAGATAAGATTATTTTAAGTTTTAAATGATACTATATGTAAGTGGGCTAGACCAATAAGTAGAAGCTACTGTGATTAAAATAACGTTTATTCTCTCTTGGTCCTATAAGTAACAGTCAACCCACTACACCATTATTTGAAAGTGTAAAAAGTGTGAATCAGGAATATGTTGGATTAAACATCAAAACATGGGAACTGGACAAAAAAGGGACAGAGCTGTCCAAGACTTTTTGCTGGCACTGGACTGAGAAAGCCGCCAAGTCAAGATCAGTCCACATTGTTGGTTCTGGTAACTATGGAAATCAAAGGAAACAAGGTTGCTTAGCCATAAAAACAATGTCACACTATTTCATCCTCCTCAATATCACAGCAACATTCGTCTTCTTCCTCCGCATCCTGGCTGGAGCCCAAACCAGGTGTTATGAAAGGCACCAGCTAGGCTCCCGCCCACTAACGACCTGGGCATCTAGGGGCTAGGCACAGAGGTTCGGAGCAACTCACCCCTGAGACTCCGTTGATATTGCCCCAGAATTTCCTCCAGGGTAGAGTTCCCTGGGGAGTCTGCCATGCACAGACTCTGGGCCCAGAGATGGGAGTTACGCAGGGAAATGTCCAGCGCACTCCCTTCAGAGAATAGGCCTAGCGCCGGCTGAACGCCCGCCTGCTTCCTGCCGCTGCTGTCACTGGGGAGTCTTGGAACCCCGGACAGAGCTCCCGGGGGCTCTTCCTACCCACTGTCCTTCATAGCGAACGTCGGGAATTGTAGTTCGCAGCTAAGGGCCCGCTGCTTCGAGAACCCTAGGAGCCTTCCAACTACACTACAACTCCCAGAGGGCACTGCGCACTGGGCGCCGACCTCGACCATTTGGCTGCCGGCGTTGGTTGCCAAGAGACCGACTCGGAGGTTCCGCCCTTTTCCTCTAGCCCAGCCTTGTTTAGTCCCTCCTCCTCCCTATCCTTCTGAGGTCGGGACTGTCCGAGGGAGTGAAAAGGCCCCCTGAGGCCTTGACACTTCAACGTGTGCCGCCTTGCAGCTGATCCCTCAGCCTTCTTAAGTACGCAAATAACAAGCTCTGGGCACTGTTCATTTGCCACATTGTCCAAAAGTCAAATACACCCTCAAGAAGGAGAACCTCAAAAAACTTCCTGCCTATTCCTTTCTGGCTGCCAACACTACACCTACTAGCATGCTTAGCAACGCGACCTCCACTTGGAGTTGGCGCACCGCCGGCTGGGAACTGTAGTCCTTGTAGGTTGCAGCTCGGGCTATTGCCAGGGTCCTCTTCATTGTTCCAGCTGGTCTTGGGAGCACGCCTGCGCACTGTGCAGCCAGGGAAGCGTGTGGGTGAGACCCTCTGCACAACCCTTTTTCATTGTCTGGGCTTAGCGCCTGCGCAGTAAGAAATCGTTGGGACCGGGCTTGAGAGGATAAGGCCTGGCTCCTCGCCCTTTCCCGAGGCGCCTGCGCATTAAGCGCCCGCTCTTGCCGTTACCGCTATGTGTGGGGCGTGTGTAGAATAACGTTATTGCCCAGCGGAGCTGAGGGGCCTGGAGCTCGGCCGCGGCAGCAGCGACGACGACGACGACGACAGCGGCGACGACGACGACGGGGTGGGGGGAGGACGGCGTGCTAGCGACTCACGGGACGCAACGCGCCCCGCCTCCCCCGTCCGGTCCCTCTCTCAACGGTGAGGGGTAAGTGATGCGTCGGGCTACTGGGTGTCGGCGCCGCCAAAGCCACTACAGCGGCTTTTTCTCCTCCTCCTCCACGGATACTTGACAGGGACTCTGGGCGCGGCCCGCGGCTGAGCCTGATGCGGGGCCGCCTGCCAAGGGGGTGCTTTCCGGATGCTCCGTACAGCACCACCGCCCCTGACCTGGGGCTCCCATCCCCCATCCCGTCACTGTCCCCGGCCTCCAGTTCTGAGGCCCCTGGCCTTCTCTGGCCCATCGCCACCGTGTCCACTTCCCCTGAGTGTATTGAATCATTTTCAGGTCCCTCCCTTCTTTGTGCAGCCCTCCCCTTCGCCGTAGCAGTTTGCGAAGGATGTGGGGGGGAGCTTTGTAGGCAATGGCTGCGTTGCTGCTGGAGAAGGGATTTTTTTCCTGTATGCCCATCCCTTTTGTATGGTTGGTTTCGGGGTGTGAGGTGGCTAGGGGAGGTCACACGGGGAGCCTTTTGGACGTGTCGGGAGGGCGTGGAAGACGCGGTGTCACGCACCCAGCCAGGCGACTTGCACCCGGCGTAGGCTGAGGCTCTGTAGTAAACTCGGGGAAGGAGAGGGTAGCTTCCTGTGGGCTTCATTGTCCTCAGATTCAAATGTAGGATTTTGGTGTGGTTCCCTTACATATTCTACAAGGGAGCTGGGAACATTATTAGCAGCTGCCAAACACAGGGCGGGAAGATGTGGGATTTATATATCACATACAGATTTATCTCATAATCTATTTTCCTGGTGTTCATTAGGGTTTTACTTATTTTCCCCATCTAAGAATATAAAGATAGAGACTATACCCGCTGGAGTTCAAGTCTGTCAAGGCGATCCATATAAGATTACTAGGTAACTATGAAGACTAGGCTAAGAATGGCCTGACAAGGAAGCTGATGTGTAGCCAAGAAGTGAACCAGCAGAATTGTTTGGTTTTTTCCCCCCCCAATTGGGTGGGTATTCTTGTTCCTAAGGGACTAGATTAGGATAATCTTTGCGTTTTATTTTATTTTTTAACAATCAAAACAAAACTTTGGTATATTGTTTCTGAAATTGTTTATCTTTTATTCTGTAAATGAAAATTCACCTATTTGGAAGGAATTTGTTGAAGCAGATGATACATTTGGTTGAAAAATGCATATTTTGGGGCTGGGAGCTGTAGCTTGGTGGTAGAGCTCTTGCCTAGCACTTGTGAGGCACTGGAATCCTCAGCATCACATAAAAATAAATAAAGGCACACTTTTCATCTGTAACTACAAAAATAAAAATTAAAAAAAAAGAAAATGCATTTTTAAAAATGATTTGAATCTTAAGCTTACACCAGCAGAAGACAGAACAGAGAGGAGCATATGAAGTAATAGTTACCTTATGAATTACAGTATTTAGATTTTCACTGAAATTACTCTACTTTATGCTTCGAATACTTAGAATTCTGGAAATAATGCATTGATGAATAGCAAGTTACAATTTTTTTTTTTGCCATTATTTTAAAGAAAACCAGAACTGCTTTCAGTTTTTTCTCACTTTGTAGATACTGTAGAATTTTGGTGGTATAAAATAGAAGAGTCTGAGTATACTTGACAGACAGGGGAAGACACAAATTCAACTGGAAGACAGAGCCAAATAAAACCAAGATCTATTCTGCAGTGTGGTTTTTCCTGTGCCACCCTAGGCCTCCCCCCCTTACAAACTTATGAAAAACTTCTCTGCCTGCTCTTTAAGCTGTCTGTGTCAATGACTTTGATTTTCATAGTTGGGTTAATTTAGTCATCTTTGTGATGTAAAAATAGTATTTTTTCTGGAACGGGACTTTAGTTTCAGAAAGTAACTTCCTGTATAAAGAAAGATGCCGTAACATGTGCTTTTCATAAAAAGAAAGTTTTGGAAGGGTTTTCCAGTTCTTTACTATAAAATATTTTAATATTATTTCTTGAAATTCAGTGAGATTTTCTAATAGCATGATCAAGTCTATAAACTGTGCAAAATAAATTTTCACATAACAAAAATATATGAAGTTTTTTTTGATTAGTGAATTCTAATGATTTTCAACTTAAACTAGAATTTACCTTTTAAGAAACATTAACTTTGTTTTTTATTGGGTTAATTTTTATTACACATTGCTTTTTGGTTGCTTTAGAATTTTAATTCTTTAATTCTACACTGTATTTAGTAGGCATTTTTTTGAAATTTATTTCCCATAATTTAATCAAACTTTAAGAAAATAATCCATAATTAAATTCAGTGGGTGAAATTATATTCACTCAAACTTTAAATGTGTTTTATTGGTAACTTTCATGGTGTTCTAAAATTATTTTACATGGGAATAACTAATCTGCATGTTTAGAACTAGAATGATGAAATTTACATTGTATACATAGGCATTATTCTGCATCAAATCAAGGTGCTTTCTGAAATTCTATGCTTAGTGATTTGTTTGTTCCTTGTGTGTTTCTTATTCCTTTTTATCTACCAGATAAAAAGTTTTTATTTTGCATCTGATAGCAATCAGATGAGTTCTCATATAGTACTAAGTGCTGTATTTGTTTAAGCTTCTTGTCTATATGTTTTTTTTTTAATTCAGAAAATTCTTTTCCAGGAAAATAATTTTTCCCTTTATAATTAATGTATAATTCTTTTTCTTTTTCTTTATTTGTTTTTTGTTGGTACTTCAGTTCTTTTTGTTTTTTGAGAAAGGGTCTTGCTAAATTCCCAAGATTGGCCTGGAACTTGCAATTTCCCTGCTTTAGACTTCTGAGTATATGGGATTACAGGCTTGTGCTATCACACCCAACTCTTCCTTTTAAACACTGGGTTGTTAAACATTGCTAATAAGTATCTAACAGGATGATACTTAATTGCAGACTCAAGTGTCTGTATAGTTGCAAATTATTCTAGAAATATAACAAAAGGTCAGTTACATACTATCTGAAAATGTTTCATGAGTAGATAATATGTATCAACCTGAGAATTATAAGAAATAGGTTTACTTTTAATGGGGAGAAATCTCTGACCATTTTTTTATTAATCTTATTATTAATAATGAAGATTTTTTAATAACTACCTATGCTGAAATGGGCTTTGATTTATTAACTCAATTATTTCATGAGGAATGAGTTTTAATGATGAGTTAACCATTTTGATATGTAAAGAGAATAAGAAAACATCTGTGGTTGATTAAGCTGGGTATATTGTCCAGTTTAGTTGAAATGATTGTGCAACAGTGTAATTTTTTTTTTTTTTTACTCAGAGTGAATAACATAGCTGTATTTATAAAGCCTACTTTTATATAAGCAAAGGTAGAAAAGAAACCAACAAAAGGTTAAAGAAAACCTCATAAAAATTACACGCAAATAGAGATTGCATACAATGGAAAAGAATCCCAAGCATGCATTGCTTAGATTTGAATAGCATATGATACATAGCAAAGAACAGATTATTATTTAAGTGTATTGATAATTAACAAATTACATAGAAAATATTGTACTTTGGGACATAAAGTTTATTAAGTGAACTATACCTATCATGTATGGAACACCTGCTAAATGTCAGGCTGTGTGCGTATGTGTTTGTGTGTGTGTGTGTGTGTGTGTGTGTGTGTGTGTGAGAGAGAGAGAGAGAGATTGCATTTAATTTATGCAGCAGTCTTAATAAACATATTATAAAAATACATTTAATTCCACATTTAAAGTGGAAGAAATTTGAGGCTGTTTTTAATGTCACATATAAAGGTTAGAGCCCATAAATGAACCTTTGACTTTTTGACTAAAGCCAAAATTGTTTCTGTTCATCTTTTTGAATTGGAGCTTAACCAGTCATCCATAAAATATGCCACCCACTACTAATATTCCTTAGATACTAATGAACCTAACTCTCCATGAATACTTCCCTGAACATAGAAGAAAGACCATTTACCCTTCAGAAAGTATAATGGAAAGATTTTACAAAAATTGAGCCAATATCTTCTTTGTTATCTAACTTCTTGTTGCACTCTATCTTTTGAAGTAAAACACTGTAAAGTTTTTCTCAAATTTATTAGCTCTCTGCTGGATTTTCTTTTATTCTAAATTAAATGTTTCACTACTTCTAGTTCACATGTTATGGCTTCATTTGCCTTTTTCATCTCTGTCAACTGAATTCTGTTAGTTTTATCAGTGCTATTCTTTTTTTCTGATCTAGTTTTCATATTTAATTCTGTAATTATGGTCTGAATTCAGTGTGTAGTAAAACTATTCTTTTCCTTATTTCAAACCATACACTTGTGTTTACAGTTTTTGTCAACTCTTTAACAAAACTATTTGTGTTTATCTCCAGTTCTAAGCAAAACACACTGAGAGAAATATGTTATAGCTTTTAAAGTTATATTTATGTAACTCAATGGGTTATTTTTGGAGATGCTGTTCTTCTGCTTTTCTAAAATGAAATGATAAATAAAATAGGCTTTCTAAAATGAAATATGTTTAGTAGGTACAATAGATGCTTTTGCTATTTGTTGTAGATTTTTGTTTTGTTTGAATCTTCTTAATTAACCAATAAAATATTAGCAGCCGTATGTTGGTTATCTTTATTTATTTATTTTTTAGAAAACAATTTGGAAATCACTGATGCAGTTAACATAAACCAACATCTTTATATTTAGCTAGATCTCTGTATTTTTGTATATACACATAGATGATGTTTTTGAAGCACTGTTTTACTTTACTGCATATTAAATTTCATCTGCTCAAGTGTATCCATAGTTAAAACTTGTTGAGATCTTCTTGAATCATATCATCTAAGGGATTAGTTTCCCTTCCTGACTTTTTGACATTTATAAACCTAACAAGCCAGACCTCTAATATCTTCATCCTGGTTATGTACTGGATATAGCCAAGGACAAAGCCATGCAGACTTATAAATAGAATAAATGTTATATAAACAAAATATGCTTATGGGAAAAGGGTGACAGAGGCAAAGAAATCTATCTGGATTGTGTGTGTGTGTGTGTGT